CTAGACCAGACAGTAGAAGGTGGAAGTTGGAGTCAACTGGGACATTCTCTTGCCGATCCTATGTCATAATCAATCTATTTCATTGTTTCATCTCTCTTCTGATTTGGAAGGCTAAATTATCTCTCAAAGTGATTATGTGCTTCTTCGGGTGTGTGGGAAGTAGAGAACTTATAATAAGTTACTATTTAATTTAAGAATATGTTATTCACATGCAGGGAGGCTGGGAGAATGATGAAACTGTTGAGGAGGCAGCCGCAAGGGAAGCTGTTGAAGAAGCTGGAGTTCGAGGAGAGCTAATGGTGAAATACATTTTTTCAACTTATATTTCTTCTAATTGTTATTTCTTGAGCTTTTTCCATATTATCACCTCTAACTTCTTTGAATAGTTTCTCTTCATCTGTTGAAGACTTGAATTGCTTAGGTTGTATCTGTGTTATTTGGATTTCTTGTGTTTTATATTGAAATGTTTTTGGGGATTGCAATTTCTTACTTTTGCTTTGTTGCAAGATGATGCATCCATTTAAGGCTTTAATTCTTTAGATTGTTTATCAGTTTGTGTCTTGATTGGATTTCTTGTGTTTCACAAGACTTGAGCAGTGGATCTAATGTTTGCATTAGATCCATTTTACATACTTGTTACTTTTCATTGTGGGCAGTATGATTTACCTTGACAGAACTGTATGTTAGTTATATGGGCACCAGTTGAGTTTAGTAGTTGTAGAAAGCATAACTGAATTGAGCTGGCCTCTCAGGGCATTGTAGTCTAAAGTAGTTATTTTCTCTATCCTATCTTACTGATAGATGAAGGAACTTGGGGGTTATTAAATTCCAGGTGCCGATGTCCAATTTAATCAATATATTGGCTGTCATGGAGAATAATAAGGATGTATATAATTTTGGTTGGCTTTGTATGTTAGCATCGAGTGTTAATATGCCTGCTGCATATATTTCGAGAATTCTTTGCCAAATCTTTTTGTATGTTCTTTCTATATCACAGTACATGGAGAAAGCGAACCAACTGTTTATCTATTTGGTTTGCAGGGTTTCCTGGGGTATTATTATTTTAAGAGCAAGACACACCAGGATGAGTTCAGTCCGGAAGGTGTATGTAAAGCTGCTATGTTTGCTTTGTTTGTCAAGGAGGAACTTGAGTCATGGCCCGAACAGAGCACCCGAAACAGAACATGGCTGACTGTAGCAGAGGCTATCGTGAGTTGCCGGCATGCATGGATGAGGGATGCCCTGGTGGAAGGCTTCTCAAAGTGGCATGCAGAAAAGATGATAGGTACGGGGTAGGTTGAGGAGGATGCAACATTGACTTGCTAATAGGGTGTGTGAGCGTGAACAGAGGCCATTTTAGTTGCACGCTCATGAACACAAGTACAAACATGCTGGAATTGATTATTCGGTGCAGTTTTCTGCTTACCAATTGTTCATCAAGTAACAACACTATTAACGATACTACCGTTGGAAGTTACGTAGTCTCAGTCCCTTCAAGTTTATGTTCAACATTTTCTGGTGCATATCCAAACGTTTACTTGCCCTTTCTGCAATGGTGCATTATTGTTAAGTTGGAAACAAATTTCCAAAGCTCTTTGAAGATATTGTTTCCTTTTGCACTTGAGTTTGATCCCCCTTCTCCCCTTCTTGTAGGTTAGAGTAAGTTAGAATACTGAATAAGAAAAACTAATTTCGTACCGCATCATCCTATGGAGGACATTGGTGAGAAAAAGTTCATCGCACCGCGGCGCCACCATCATATGCGGCAGTGATTGACAATTACACTTGGATTCATGGCAGCAAATGCAAGAAGCATCTTGTTGCGTTGCGTTAAAATCTAGTCATCTCTTCTTGTTCTTCCAAGGTCACCAAAGCTTTCCAGAAACATATCATTCCCATCCTTGTAAGTTTGATCATCCTCTTCCTCGCTACGAGACTTGCAAAGCATAGAGGAACGCTCTTCACCTTTGAATCTATTTGCCTTATCGCTGAAAAATATCAACCCTCTCCCCATCTTTGCCGCCACCTCATGCAACTCCAAATTATTTTTTTTCCCAGTGTACTTTGGAATCCCCAACCAGACTCCCTCTCGCATTTTCCGGCAGAGGAGGACCATTCTTTTCGGTAAGTTCACCGCTTGGAGCACTACTGAAGGCGTTGGTGGTGATGGTGATGATGATGATCTACTTGTACAATTGTGGGGGTTTTTTTTGTTAATAACATCATTACCACGTTGATTGATAAGCGCAATAGTAATTTTTTCATTGAGATTAGCCACCTTCGAGGCACTGAACACATATGGTATAATCTTCGAAGTATCTTCCTTAAAATCTCTCGTCAATCCAACTTGGCTTAACTGCTTGCTGAGTCACGCTTCTTGGGACAGTAGGTAACTTGACAGTCATAGATAAAACCATGCTAAACTAGCAATATTAAACCTCCTCTCTTTGACATAGATTTTGATCCAAAGAGTATAATGGAGGGACCATATAGATTCAGTGGCTTAAGTGATTGAAGTAGGGATCAATTTATTACTCCCTGTTGAGCAAAAATTGTACACAATATGTAAACAAATAATTCACTCGACACAATTTCACCTTTGTTCATTTTTCCGAAGAGAGTTTTATTAATTTGAGTTCGACCCATTCTAAGCTACGCGCCTATTAATTACAACCCTTCTCCCTTTGATTCTAATATGAATAAATCGTAACTTGGGGATTTGAGTGTTTATTTGATTTTGTGACTGCACCTAGGTAGAGCCCTAGATTGCCTACGTACCCTCGTTGAGGGATCAAGTCACTTGTAGTTCCTTATGTGTTTGTTGGGGTTTGATGCCTTGTGCAGTTGTAGCTCGTGGGGGCGAGGACTTTGAACCATTGGAGCATTTAACGCCTTGTGCAGTTTTAGCTTATGCGGGCGAGGACTTTGAGCCATTAGAGCATTTGATGCCTTGTGTAGTTTTAGCTCTTGCGGGCGAGGACTTTAAGCCATTGAAGCGTTTGATGCTTGTGCATTTTTAGCTCATGCGAGCAAGAACTTTAAGCCATTGGAGCGAGATGTGGCTTCGTGCCATTTGAGACTTGTTGCGGCTTCATGCCATTTGATACAGCTTAATGCCATTTGATATTTGATACGGCTTCATGCCATTTAATACTTTTATTTGGCTTCGTGCCATTTGTAGAGCTTTGTGCCATTTGAGTGGCTTTGTGCCATTTGTAATTTGAACCGGCTTTATGCCATTTGAAGTTTGATGTGGCTTCGTGCCATTTGAGTGGCTTTGTGCCATATGAGAAAACTTGATGGTTGGGTGATTGTTGAAGAGCTTTCGTTGTTTTGTACCACTTCATTTGTCAAATGAAATTAACGGGTATATTTGTAATAAACCCATTAATATTTAGTTTTGGGTTGGTACAATTTCTTGCTCCATGTTTAATTTTAACTTGATGGAGGTCATACTTGTGATAAACTCGCATGAGAGGTATTTTATTTTTTCTCTTACTTTGCAGCTTCCTTCTCCAATAGGTTATTCAATCCTATTTGAAATAGGTCTTTGAAAGCAGGAAAGTTGGCCCCTTTGTTTTTTATTGTGAAAAAGACCTTTTTTTTACTTTTCTTTCCTTTTGAGTTTTAAACTCTTTCCCTTCTTTTGGAGAAAATTTTAGTTGTAACGAAAATACGGATGGTATATCACGTGCTTTTATACAAGTGGTGGAAAATTTTAATTTTTAAGTTATTAACCTTTTAACACACATAGCCCTCCATTTATATATAGACACATGGTGTACCACTTCGTGTGATTGAAAAAATCTCTCATTCTTTTGCTTTTGGCTTGTAGCTTTTGTTAGAGTCGCGACAAACTTCACCTCTTCATCTTTTTATTTACTTTCTAGAAATCACTAGTAAATTGTACCCGCACGTTGTTGCGGGAGCAAAAATATAACTATCGATTATATTTTTAACATATAAATAAGTACACACTAAGTTAAACATTAAGTAGAAAATGGAGCAAATATTTTTACAAACCTGTCTAAGTTTATGTAACTTAGAGAAAAAGACATTGTCAAATGCCTTGTCATTGATATACAAAAATGGCTAGTCTAGTATTCCCCATCGACAGTCATCCCAGTGCTTCATTTGCATAATTACTTGACAATAAATTTCTTCCTAACCAAACAGAAAATAAAGCAACGCATGAACAAACACATCTAACCAGAGCGATTCGTTAGTGGAAAACAGCGAGAAAAACAGGCCAAGCACACTTCCACACGATCCGATAGAAATTAAAAGAAGACACACGGAGGAGAAATATAGAGAAACGGAAAGACTGAGAAAAGAAAAGAAAGGAAAGTGAAAAATGAAATGCACCTTGCCTGAAATATGAAAGATGCTGGAAACATGTTCCTTGAAATATGAAAATCTTGAAAGCATCTTCCCTAGAAAAAACAAAACGCAAGGGAACAAAAATGAAGAGTACAAAGGACAAAACCGGGTGGGAACTGTTAATTAACAGTAGTTTTAATATTTTTTTAGTTTTTTTTTATACTAAAAAACTTGTCGTGCCACGACAATGAGAGATTTTTCAGTGATTACTACACGGAAAGATACATTTATTATACAAATGATGAGATATATATGTTAAAAATTTAATAACTTAAAAAATAAATATTTTCATCACTTTCATTAAAAACACGTCCTAGTCACAACTAAAAATTTCCCCACGCCCAGTTTAACTCACATTTTAAAAGGTTTTTTAGCCTTACGATCAGTTGCTTTATCACATTGAAAAGCAGGGAAAGAACCAGTTGATGACTGCTTTATCTATGAAACATAACCAATAATGAAAAGTCGGGAAAGAAGAGCAATGATACATAATTTTTATTGTTTGTTGTGCCAATTTACATTGTTTAATATTTTTTTCTCTTGCCACCGGCATTTTTGTCACAATTTTAATATTTTTATAAATTTTTATTGTTTGTTGTCCCACAAACCATGTAGCCGGGATAAATTGTTCTTGCTTATTGTGCCATTCTCATTTTTTAATATTTTTATAAATATATATTTCTGTCACTTGCATTTAATATCACTTTTTTGAGAAATAAGCGTCTGTCATTACCATCAGAGCTCTCATTCAAATGGAACCGGACCTCTTTCTCAGATGGAAAGGGATGATCAACACGTAGCATAATGTAAACCAAAACCAACCAAAACTTGCTTTCAGCATCTTTTCTACAAAACACATAGCATACGCACCAAAGGACACGATTGGACGATGACCGACGTGTGGCAAACATGGGTAAAAGCGTCATCTCACTGTACCAAGCAGTAAGACCACAGGAAACAAAGAAGACACTAAGGGGCATTTTAGCCATTACACTGCTCGTAAACAGTATTTTCCACCGGGTTTTAGTATATAGATAATTTCTTCCAATTCCTAATTTAGACAGAATCAACGCCTATTCTTCTTTGGCTGGGCTTTCTTCGGGTTTCTGTTGCAAGAAAGAACACCAAGGGCTTTTGAGGATAACCATGATCAATAGGTAATTTATGCAAGTAATTTTCTTCTTTGTCGACATCTCGAACCACGGATGCGCGTTGTCCTATTTCAGTAACCAATGGTCTTCTTCTCTGCGGAACAAAGGCACCAGTTTAGGTGGACTTTGCTTCTTCTTCTTCTTTATTGTCAGCAACCCATCTTCTTCTTAACTCCAAAACGACGGCTGCGATGGGTTTGTTTTTTCTTTGCTAGAAGCATCCTTCTTTGTGGTGTGACTTCTGTCTCCGACTTTGTGCCAAATTCTTCGAAATGAGCTCCTAAAACGGAGCAGCAGCAACCATTTCAACTTCAGCAGCCATTGCGGTTGTTGTTCTCACGGCAGAGGACTTCGTTCATGACCACCTTATTTTATGCCGTAGGTGAGAAAATGGATCATGCTGTGTCGTTGGGCTTGCAGATCGGAGGATGACGTGACTGTTGTTGCCGTCGGTGTTGTTGAAGTGGTGGTGTTCGGCGGCGCTCTCTCTGGGCAGAGAGGTAAGATGCAAATAGGTTGGGCAAAGATGCTTGGTGGCGCTCTCGTACATACGTGGCTGCTATTGCCTCATTTCGGAAACCGCCCTTGCATCGTTGATGAATTTCAGAACCATTGTTAGGCACAATGGGTAGGCATTGTTCCTCCATGAAAATCAGACTTCCAAACTTCTTTGGGCACCACAGGTTGTAGGGTGCTGATGACGGCGAAAGCGCAGCGACGGTAATGCTTTTCTTTGTTGATGCCGCTGCTGGTACTAGGATCTTGACGAAGGATTGTAGAGAAGTCGAAGGTGTCGACAACGTGGCAGCGGCGGCTGTTGATCCCATATAGGCTTCCGTCTGACGTTGGCGGTTGCTAGCGTATAGGTTCGTGTTGCTGGCCAAAGTTTACTCAAGATGACACTTGCCTACAAAATAAATTTACTGGAGAGAAAATGAAGAGACAAGAAACATAGGTTTTGTACCTTCTGATTGTTGCTTGTAGTTTGCTCTGCTTCCTTGAAAGACTTGGTTTGAAATCGCAGGTAAGGGAATTACTTCGTCTTCTTTCCCAGCAGTACTTCGTTGCTTCTTTCCTCTCTCAATTCCTCTCTCAATTTCTACAGCGTACCTCCTCTTGTTTTTTTCTTCCCAATTTTCTTTGGATTAATGCCTTTTAGGCGAACGGTGGAAACAGAAGTTGTGGTTAGTGGGTGAGTGCTACCACGTACTCTGTGGGATATCCGTATAAAACCACCCACGTCTCTAGGTGTGAAGGGATTTTATTATCCCACTTTTTATATATATGGGATAGATCAAGGGACAAATATTTTTACAAATACTTTTACACTTTTTTTTAAGTCTTTTGATTACATGACATCTAATGGTTCTTATTTATTCATTAAATGACATGCTTATATGGATTTTAACTAATATTAAAGATAAAATAAAATTAAAAATAAAAATAAAATCTGGAAAATTAAAAATATAATTAAAAAAGGAAGATAATTTAACTGAATTGGTTCTTCCATTCCCATTTCGATCAAGACTTGGATTCAGACTTTGTATTTTCTTTCATCTTTAGTTCCCGATTACTTGAATTTTATATTTTCTGAGATCAGTTCCAGTTGGAGCGAGTTCAAATGCTGGAAAGAAGCATTTATGGATGACTCTTGAATGACTCCATCAATATATGGGTTCAATTACAAAGGAGACATTTGCAGGTGAATGTGCTTATTTTCAACTGGGTTTATGAACATTTTAATGAGAGACTGAGAATCTTGCTGGATGAAACACGCACTCCCTCTTTTACATCTGAAAACCCACAAACCCCTAAAATCGCTAACCTTCAAGAACGATTTGGTAAGCATTCTCCAATCTTTACATTTAAAAGTTGATGAACTAATATTGAAATATATTATATGGATGTGATTTTGAAAGCCGAATACAATTTTGTGTGGAAAATATACATGATACTGTATTAGATAAACTTTTATATTCCTCTGCGTAAGAGTTTTGCTTGCATTATGGGTGTGTTTGAGTTTCCTTATAGTAATGGTGACCATTCACGGTAATTCATTGCATGATCATCCTTATCACAAAATAAGGATAAATATGTCCCGCGCTTGATTAGTAAAAGTGTTTTCACCAGGTCCTATAGTTTAACGTTAATACCATTATTGTTTACTCATTCATGAAACAAATGTAAAGTGATGTTTAGGGGTTCATATAGTGTCGGTGCTAAAATTAGATTCAGTTTGGAAATAACTCTCAGTTTCTAATCCATGAAAACTGTGGTGAGAAATTTTGAATTGATCGATATAGAGTTCCGTTACAAACCTAAATGAATATTGACTGTTAGAAGACATGAATAATCACACTCTTTACATGAAATGTCAACATATGAGTACATGTTCTCTTCTTGATGCAATGCATATACATGGGTGGATTGGCCCATGTAGATATTTCTCACAAAGAAGGAATTCATGCATTAGAGATGAGATCAACATAGGTCGAGAAGAGTGGTCACACAAATGGTCAAATTTTTTAGAAGACTTTAATGATGTGTATGCATGAGCTAATTTAAATTTCTAAAAACTTAGGCTATATGTATTAAGACTGCACCACCAAGTGAATAAAATGTAAAGGTATTGTATTCACACTCTTTAACTTAGGCTATCTGTAATTCTTTTGAACAATTTTTCGTACATGTGTCAAAATGATAGAAAAGGTTTGAGTTTTTTTGTGATGGAATTCCAGGACTGCCATGTTATGGACTTCCAAGAGATTAAAAGCATAAAAGTAAAAAAGGGCATTTCAGAGATGAAGCATCAGGCCACGGCATCGCAATATTCTAATTGGGTTTCTACTGCAGTTTTATTTTAATTTTGTTTTGGTTTTGGATTGCTTTGCGATATTTGCGGTTTCCGATTGACTCTCTTGGATTGTTTTTTGTGACATACAGTTTTACTTTTATTTTCAGAGCCTTTGTTAGAGATGAAAATTTGAATAAGAAGAAGACGGCAAGGAATTTCTAAGTAATTTTTTCGTTTCTTTTTTATTTTTCTGAATAGATTATTTTTTTAGTCTATGATTGGATGCAAGTGTTCCCAAGCAAATACTGAAAATTTTAATCACTTTCTTAAATTTATGTCCATTTTATATACTGATCTATTTGTAAAAAGTTAATTTGATAACAATGTAAAGTAGTGTATTTATATGTGAATTTGTTATTTGATTTGTGCAGAAATTATTATTTTAATGATGGCTTACAAATGAAAACCAAATGCTCTACATGACTAATAGTTAGTTTAAGATGATTGATGTGCATATTACATGATTAATTATTGATAGTAAATTTTACATGTACTGTATAGATAAAGATCAAAATTTTCACATTATTGATAAAAAAAAAAAAGCCAACATAATGTATAAGGCGGTGTTGTGGAGTTTTACATATAAAGACCAAGTTCCACTATGTAGTAGCATCTGTGATGTACAAGATTGATTTGAAAGATTATGTTTAGCTTCATTCTATTTATGTGCTTCTCTCTTTTTAGGTTTGGAGGATTAAACAATTTCAGTTCAAAGAGATAATTTTGACAATTATCCCATTGAAATACAAGTTTGGGAGGAAGAAAAGAATAGATATTGGATAGTTAGATTATTTTGTCTTATTTATTTGTCAATTTTAAACTCAAAATAACATTTGAACAAATTTAAGTCTTTTCGACCAAGGTGGAATTCAACCATTTTTCATGGTAGCTGACTGTGATCATACTTATTCTTCTGTGTAGGTTGGTAGAAAACGCCTGAACAAGTGTGCCAATTTTATTTGATCTCTGAACGGTTAAAAAAAGTAGAGCACGTGTGTTTTTTTTTCAATAGAATGCAAATTTCATTCAACTTGGAGAAATACTATTCCAGGGTTGTGCTTACTACTTCTAATCAAAAGAAGAAGAAAATACACACTTGAATGTATCTATTAAAAAGGTAGGCGGAAACATGGATGTTGGCCTCTCATAAATTCATTGGAAAAATGAATGTTAGTATTTCAAAGTTTAAAATTTTGGATGGGCAAATAAGAAAACAGCTAAAGCAATACATTCTTAGAGGCACGTAGCTCCCGTGATAAAAAAATGCCTCTCGCATGCGCATGAATAACATTTAAATCATTACTTTACGCAAAGTAAAAATGAAAAAAATGATAATTTTTTAGGATGTGCATGGTAAAAAAAAAAAAGTTCCTCTTTGCACGATACATTTAAAGTATATCTTGACAATTACAATGGAAAAAAACTAATACCATACATCTTTAGGGGCGCGTAGCGCCCGTGATGCAAAAATGTCTCTCACATGCACGTTAGTGCGTGCGGAGAGGCTAGTATATATAAGGGGAGAGCCCCAGTTTGGTGAAGCATTCCAAAATACCAAAAAGATCCCTATGTTTCCTTCACAATCAAAATGTAAAAAATCCAAAAAAGGAGGACAAATTGGTAAAAAAAAGGAAGAAAAAACTGAATAAAAAAACTGTATTAGAATAAATAAATAAATAAAGAAAAAAAAACAGAATTTTAAACCAATACACGGAGAAGGCACATGGAGAATAGATTGGAAACTGCTTTGCGTCTTAACTGGGAATCGTTTTGCGGAATGAGAGATAAACGTGAACGTGCAGAATGGGGTTGAGGAGGAAAAGAAACAACTAATCGTGCAAAAAGAAGCAGTTTTGCTAGATGAGAGATATATAGAATGACACAAAGTAAGAACCTGAAAAGAAAAAACTGAGACAGTTTTGCAGGAAGAGAACATGATACAAAAGCCATTGCTTGCTCCTAAATTTGAAGAGAATTACAAGTTTGCTCTTCTTTAATTCCATGCAGTTGTTGGTGTTAGGGAATGACTTAGGTTAGTTCCAGGTGTCATTAGTAGAGTAGAGAATATGGAGTTAGTTATAAGGTGGTTGTATTTATAAGTAAGGGATGTAAACAGATTGTAGCTGATATCTTGGAATATACATAACATTCTTTTTACTCTCTCTCTACTTCCTCTCTCTACATTTTCTCTCTGTACTTTTCTTCATTACTGTTGACATGGTATCTTCGCCGGCAAAGGGTAACACCGTCGTCGGTTCCTGATCTCTATGCTTCCGCTCCCTGATCTCTGTGCTTCCGCTCGTCTTGTTCGTGCTTTCATCTTGGTAAAAGTTGTTCTCGTTTCGTCGAGGATCTCCGTCGATGGCTGAAACCCTAGAAAATTTGGGGCTTTTTCGTCTGTCGGTCGGTGATTGTTCTTCTTGAAATTCCTTCGTTAATTGTTGCTGTTGTGTGTTTCTTGAAGGCATTGTGGTGTAGTTTTATCGTCATTTTGTCTCGCTCATTTGCGATTGTTGCTGCAATTGGATTGTCGAGATTTTCTTGATATTATCTCGATTGGAGTTTATTGCGTTGCTTGATCTGGTTTCTTGATGTGCCTCTTTCTTGCATACGTATTGTTGTTCGTCTGTGGAGAATTCTGTTGACAAATTGTGTGTTTTGGTTGTTTTCTGAGTCTTGACGATACGTTGATCTTTTACAGTTCTCATCATGGTTATAGTTACTCAATTAGCACTTACTCAGTCACCAATTTCTTCACTGATTCCTAGTGTTGGTAACACTGTCATTGTCAAATTGGATGATTCCAATTATGTTACCTGGAATTTTCAAATGGGGCTTTTATTAGAGGGAAATGGAATTTTTGGTTTTGTGGATGGATCCATTCCTTGCCCAGATAAATATCCTGATTCTGATTCTGAGGACGAAACTGTTACTAATTCACATCATATTACTGATGATTACAAAGTATGGAAGATTCATGATAAAGCTCTCATGACTCTCATCACTGCTACATTGTCCACTGCTGCCCTGTCCTGTGTTATTGGTTGTCAAAGTTCACAGGAAATGTGGAATAATCTGAGGGAACGGTTTTCTAACATGACTAGAACCAATATTGTTCAAATGAAGATTGATCTGCAGAACATAAAGAAAGGGTCCGAGTCTATTGATTTGTATCTGCAGCGAATCAAGGACTGTAGGGATCAACTTGCTGCTGTTGGAGTGTTTATTTCAGATGAGGATATTGTAATTGTTGCTCTTAAAGGTCTTCCACATGAGTTTAATACTATCAAGGCAGTTATAAAGGGCAGAGAGAATCTTGTGTCTTTAAAAGAATTGCGCTCCCAATTGAAAGCTGAAGAGGCTACTTTGGACGAAGTTATTAAACAGGCTCCTATAATGTCTGCTATGTATGCTTCTAATTCAGTCTATGATGCTGGGGGATCATCTGGTGGTGCCGCACATAATGCATCTCAGCATTTTTTCAATGGTTCCCATTTTCCGATCTCTTCAACCCCAGTGTTTCAACAAATGCCATTTCCTAATCCAATGTTCCAGATGAATAGTCCTCTTGCTTGTGTATCTCAGGGTGGTTCAGGGACTTATAACAATTTCAGGGGGAATAACTTCAAACCAAAGGGGAAAGGCAAGAAAGTTTATAATAATTTTCAGCAACCTCAACAAACTGGTGCTTCATTTCCACAGCAGTCTTCATCAAATAATTTTCATCAGGGCTCTTCTTTTCAGTCTCTCCATTCTCCTCTGCCTACTGAGCAAGTGTATCAACCGTTGCAGATTTGTCAAATATGTAATAGGAAAGGTCATAGTGCTCTTCATTGTTTTCAAAAAGGGTGTCAAATTTGCAATCGAAAAGGGCATACTGCTGCCACTTGTTTTGATCGAAATAGTGGTTTTTCTTCGATGGTGCCTCCCCAGTTTTCTTCATCATCATAAGGGTTCTCTCCACAGCAATTTCAACCCTCTCAACAGGCTACTTTTCCTGCACCATTTCCACCTGCCCATATGGTTCATCCTCCTCAGTTTCATCCTGCAATGATGAGCTCTCAAAATCATTCTCCGATTGCTATGACTGCGCGGTCTACTTCTTCTCCCTCTGCACCACAGCAAGAGTATTAGTTACTTGACTCACGGGCCACACATCACATGACTTCTGATTTGTCTAACATTCAAATGGCTGCTCCTTACTCATCCTCTGATACTATCACTGGTGCTAATGGAGAAGGTTTACATATTGCTCATATTGGACATTCTACTTTTCCATTACAGTATCATAATCTTTGTCTAAAATCTGTCTTACATGTACCTCAATTATCACAACATTTATTGTCCATGCATCAACTGTGCAAGGATAATAATTGTAGGTGTATTGTTGATGAGTCTTCTGTGTGCATACAGGACAAGGTCACTCAGGAAGTTCTGTATCGCGGACTGAGTAACAATGCTGTCTATCCTTTACCAGTCATGAAGTCTTCTCCTGTGTCTCCCGCATCATATATTGGACAAAGAATAAATTCTGCACTCTGGCATTGCAGATTGGGTCATCCTGTTCCTTCAGTAGTCAAGGTAGCTCTTTCTAAGGATGATATTTCTTTTAAGTGTCTTAATTCTTCCTATACTTGTAAAGCTTGTTTACAAGGCAAATTTGCCAATCTACCTTTTCCTTCTTTGGCTTCAAAGTCTGTAGTTCCTTTTGAAGTCATTCACACTGATGTTTGGGGTTCGTCCCCTAGTTTGTCTATTGAAGGATATAGGTATTATGTGTCCTTTATTGATGAATGTACAAGGTACACATGGATATTTCCTATCATGAATAAAGCTGCTATTTTTGGTCTGTTTGTCCAATTTCAAGCTTTTGTGCAAAATTTCTTTAATGTTCATATCAGAATATTGCAAAGTGATGGTGGTGGAGAGTATATTGGGATTCGTTTTCAGAATTTTCTTAAGGACAAAGGTATTTTGCATCATAAGTCTTGCCCTTACATTCCTCAACAAAATGGGCTCGTAGAGAGAAAAAATCGGCTGTCTTCCTCCTCAGTTTTGGTACCATGCATGTGCCACAGCAGTATATCTTATTAATCGAATGCCTACACCGGTCTTGTCTATGAAGTCTCCCTTTGAAATGTTATATCATTCTTCACCCAAACTAGATCACTTGAAGATTTTTGGTTGTGCTTGCTATCCGTCATTGAATCCTTATAGATCTCATAAGCTTGCACCAAAGACCAGTGAATGCATATTTTGAGATATGCTGCTCAGTATAAAGGGTTTATCTGCTTTAATCCTAAAGACAATAAACTAATTGTCTCTCGGCATGTTCTATTTGATGAAAGTCATTTTCC